CTAATCGAGCTGAGAAAAATTATTCTTTAGGAAAAACATATTCTTTGTTACACAAGAAAAAATCAGCCCTATTTGACTTTTTGTTGTTGCAAAATTCACCTTGGCAGAGTTTTGCTATCCACTCAATAGATGAGGCGCCCTTCCTGCATTTTTTTTTGTTGGTAGCCCAGCTTTTCCCTCAGAATTCTTGAAATCAACGTGGCATTAATTCCAAGGGTTGCCTCCAGGTCTTCCAAGGTAATTCCGCCATTTTCATCGACAGCCGCCGAAAGCGGCCGTAGAATAATTTCCCTAAAGAATAATTTATCCCTAAGGAATACTTTTTCTTCCAGCTCGATAAGACGCTATTTTCATTTTCATTCCGAGAACATTTGTTAGAACCCTCGTATTGTGACGAGGCCTTTTTCTACCTCGTCCCCGGGACCTCTTCGTTGGGGGCTTATCCTCTGGGAGCGGTTTCTAGTTTCGTCAAAATGTCGCCGTGCTATGAAAATTGAGGCGAACATTTTGTTCATGAAAACAACTTGACGATCATGTATGAAGCTCGAATAACAGCAATACATTTTTTTGAAAGAGAATTTGCAGGCCTCGTCCCCCTCCTCTACTCATTTTTCACTTCACATACGAATTTGTGTTGCGCGAGTGAGAATTCTAAAAGGTTTAAAATACTGTACAGTATATTGTATTCGTTTTATTTATTTTTTTCATACGGACACCCAGTTCATGAAAGCTTGAAATCTTGAAAGTACCCAGCCGCAACCTGTCCAAAGCTTTGCATCATGTTCAGAAGTGTATGAATTACTGCGGTTTTCAACTGCCGATGGCTGCTGTTCTCGGGAACCGCGCGACGGACGACTCACTGTCCAGTCCTAGAGCACAAGATTCCCCCCACGACTTGCCGTCGTACCTGGACAATAAAAAGCCAGGCTTGTTCGTCGTGGAATATAAAGGACGAGTTGCGGATATACAGTACTGTATTGTACTGGGAAGAAGTGGAGTTGCGACTATAGTTGCGTAAGCACCTTTGCTCGGTGCCGCGGGGCACTTTATAAATCATGCCGGCGTCAGTTGTTCCCCAGCGAGATGCTCTTTCTCATGCATTTTAATCGTGTCCCGTGGGGGAAATCTCGATGGACGGCAGTGACGGATGGTGGTGGTGCCGTTGGTTGCGAGGCTGGTGGGTAATAAGCTGGTTAATGGAACTGGCCATTCCTTGATGCCACCTTGTGTGTGTATGTGTGTGTAGTGTCGCGCGTCGGTTGAAGGTGCTCGTTGTTGGCATTTTTGCGGCGCGAGGCCGAGTCAACTTGCAGATGCTGTGGATTGATTATTCCTTCGTGGAAACCGTGTTCCTGCGGTGGTTCCTGAATTAACTTTTTGCCAGGTGGCAACGGCTAGGTCAAGTCTTTTCCTTCCTGGGCGACGAATTTCTGGGAAAAGTCAATGCTTCGGGGTCCGATTGTACGCGCGCATCCTCGCTGTGTATAGTACTGTACTTCGTTCGTTCCTTGGTTTACGTTTGCGCGTGCAGACCCGGTGTAGGAGGCAGGGGATACTCCCCAGTCACAGCATACTCCAGGTACTCTGTGCCTGGCCAGGGAGCGGTCCAAATCCGCGGAGTTAAGTTCTGCACATGGTTTTCCGCAATGAGGACTTAGGCGGTTGTCCATTCCGCGGAATTCAGAGGAAAGTGAATTCCGCGGTCATTCGTAAAGCGGCGTTTTACTTCGGCGGAAACAAAAAGTTTAATTCTGCGAAATCTATTTTCACCGGAAGCCTTGTACAGACCATGGTGACACAAAATGTGTGCAAAGTTTAGTATGAGGAGTTACATTATGGTAAAATATTGTTCCATAAGGAATGTAACTAGACAATATGATACTGTAGTGACAATCTTTTTCCACGCTTCAACTCCTCATAATAATAAACTACGCACGATTTTGTGCCATAATGGTCTGTACAAGGCCTCCATTGATGGATCTTCGCGGAATTGAACAATTTTTTACCCCCGCCGAAGTACACGCCACTTGGGAATCACCGCGGAATTCACTTCCCTCTGAATTCCGCGGAAGGAGTCACCGCGGAACTTTACTCCGCGGATTCGGAATCGACCCGCCTGACGGCCTTGTGCACCCTGGAATACTCCCAGCCCGGGCAAGACGCACTCCTGGATTACGTCCTGCCGCGAGTGTGCGTTACCTAGGCAGGATGTACTCGTTATTTTGTGTACATAATTTCGTATTAATATTACCTAAATTCTACCTATTACAATTTAAAATGCACTATTACCGTTTACTACCCAATTACTGTACTTGACTCTCGCAGAACAAAATCCTGCAGTCATTTCTATTTTGAAACGGAATTATTAATATTTTCATCAATATTGGGAGATGCTGTTGAGCTTCGGTGGGATTTATACTTATCAAGCTAGAATACGAAAAAAATAACAGAATTAAAATGCAATACTTCCATGAAAAAAAAGAAGAAAAAGAAAAGAGTTCTCGCGGATGGTGAATATCGGCACACCTCATTTTCATGATTTCGGAACGAACGGTGTGCCGCTGTGGACGTGGGTTGACGGAAATGGATGCGGAAGTAAGCCCTGGACGAGGCCAACAGCTCAGCGATGACGAGGAAATCATTTGATTTGATCCGTTTGCTAGTTGCGAATGCGGGAGAGGGTTGAGCAGGGCTCGGATGACCCCCCTCATTCGACCAGTCCGAGACACGAGCGGTCAGGAATTGATGCAGGGGGGGAAGACTTGAATGATTGGGAAGGACTTCGTTGTAGTCATGCGGGTCGGCGACGTGCTCCAAGTTGTAAGTTGTTGTTCCTGCGGCGCTGAGAGAGGGAGGGGGGGGGCAGGCCCTCCTCCCCCCTCGATCCCCGTCGGACACCCGACACGGTGTTCCGAGCAACGGTCGCGACCGAGTCGTTCGTGAGGCTGTTGTGGCGAGGAGGAGAAATACAGTAATTAATGCTTCCCCCCTCCGCGTCGCGTTGGCTTGTTAACTAACCTCCTTGCGTACGAGCCGTCGTTACGGCGAGATGCGACCGACGGATTTCCTAGGCTGAGATACGAAGACAGTTCTTCCTCCCCCCCCCCCCTCACCTGTGGACTCCTGCACTTGCCAGGGCCGTCTTCTTGTCGAGGCCTTTTGTTTTTCCTTCTCTCGGGGGATTTGATGGAATGTTTTTCGGCATCTGCATGTTGATCGAGTCGATGTGGCTGCTCCTCCGTCTAATGGGAGTTTGGTGGGGGTTGTTTGTGGAACTGTTTGACTTTTTTCATTCGGCGTTATTGGCCCTTCGGTTCAGGTGAGTGTTCATCTCCCAGCTTCCGTGCATCGTTTTTGTTTCTTCCTTGCAACCGGATGGTTTTGCTATGCACGACATCGTGCTAGTTCCCTGTCCTCGTGATTTGGCGTCCGACAAAATGAGGAATTCATGCCTTTTTTTCATTATTTTCCGTTTTTAAATGCGGCTGATGTACAGTACAATTCTGACAATTCCTAGATGCAAATTATTTTTTCTCTTCTTGCGCCAACTGGAAATTGGTCCTTGCAAATTGTACACTCCTCGTTTCCAAAATGTATCTTACATTTCTTGGAAGTGCATTGTACCAAGCAGCAAGGGCCACGAAATTTCAAATGATCGTGTATCGATTACCCGAACTACTTTGACGCGCTTGTCCGGCTAATATTTATGTAGGATGAAATTTGGCATGTTTCAAGTCCACCGGCTTGTAGAGTTATCGGATTCCGATCAACAACATTTAGTGAATCCACCTGCGTTTGTTGCCATCGGTGTATCACCATTATTTCAAGAGTTCTTCCCACTATCCTCCATTGATTCTTCTATATTTTTTTTATGTGAACGGTCGCTGCTCCCCCCCCTCCAAGTTGCGTACTACTGTAGTGGTAGGTGGGTGCACGGTTCAAGATGTTCTCGAGACGAGTGCCGAAGGGCTTCCAAGTATCCGCTTGAAATACGGCACCATTGTGATAGTCGACGACATCTATATACGCTCTGGAACGAAGGCATTTTTATGCACGAAAGCTGAGGGAAATATTTTACTGCGATCGCAGGGACGACGACATTGTTGCTCCGCGTTACCTTGTCGACACTATATACGGTATTGGGGGGCATGAGATTTTCGCATGAGTGTGCTGGATGACGCGTGTTATGTTCTGGGCGAACGCATCAGTTCCAATCAAATGTGGCTTTTTTATTGCTGGGAAGCTTTTCCGTTTTGTTTTCGAAACTGTCGCGTTTCGGTTCATGGAGCATCGTTGTATTCTTTTCCCTCTTGGAAGTTTTCGCGGTGGCTCGAATCGGGAAATATTCATGGTACTTTTCGTGGTGTAGAAATATTTGCTTTGGTTTTTATTTATTAAAAAATATTCCGCTATGATTCTTGAGCGTTGGTCGAGTCGAAATTCAGGCGACGTGCATCATTTTACGTTAGTGGGGTGTGAGGTTAGGTCAGTCGCGGGGCCATTCATTGTTGCGGCAGGTGCGCCTCGAGAAGTACCGTATAATCTAGAGTTTTGAGAACAGAGCTTCGACAAGAGAGTACCTGGGAAGATTGAAGACCACTTCGGTTCACGCGGTAATTTTGGAAAACTTGTCTGCTTGGAGAGCAGGGTTTTCTCCTTCATTGCTGCCTGAAATACCTGCTGTTTACTTGAGGGGTGCCAATAGTTGTGAGCGCACCGCACAATCTGCCACTCTGCGCTCCAATTACGGATCGTATATATATATATTTTTTTTTTAGAATGCGCTAGCGTTTAACGGACTTGGTCACGCATATGCTCGAAATTCTTCGAGCTGGGCTGGTTTGTGTTCAAGCTTCGTGACAGCGTTAACTTCTACCTTCCTTAGGTAGAAGTCGACAATTACGACGCCTTGTGCAGGGAAACGCGGCGTTTTGCGGGAAGAATTCGCCTGAAGCTTTTAAACGACTCGCTTGGTGAAAAGGCGTAACTTTTTTTCGAAAATGGCTTTCAACTTGACGTATCGCGGTCGTTATGTGTGTGTGTGTTTAAAAGAAGAGTTTAACTGGATAAAGTCGACTGAAAAGGCGCAAAAAGATTCAATCTGCAACTTTAAACATGAAACGAATCCTGCTCACAGCGGCTTCTTTAAATTGTACTTCCTCAGTACTTCGAGAACAAACTTTGATTTGCGTTGGCAAATGCCGAATTTTCTTTTTTGTTGCCCCGTCTTATCCTTTTACATCCCTGCATTTAGACTTCTATGCTCTGTTTAAAAGAAATACTGGTTGATCTTGATATTTAGTGAATCCACCTTTTTTTTGTTGCCATTGGTGTATCACCATTATTGTTGACTGCCCACACGTATTTTCAATATCGTAAACCTCGAAGAGCCTGATGAAATCATTGCTCGACAGGCCAACTCATTTTGACGATTGTGTTCATTTGACCTCGCAGTTCAAGGCAGACATTAAAAACATTACGTAATTAAATGTGTAATCCAAGGTTCCGCCCTCTGTAACACACTCTGACGAATCGGCACTGTTGATGATTTCCGGGAGAAGATATTTTTTTTTTTTTATTTAAAACAAAACAAAAATGAGGGGATCAGACGAAAAGCTCCTGATGGCTGATGTCACAAACGTGGAATAGCTCCTGCTGCTGTACAGTACTTTATTCGAATTCCCCTATTTGCCTCGCATGATAAGTACTGTACTATGATGCCAATCAAGTGCAAAGTACTGTACAGTATGCGGGATAATTGGAATGGAATTGACATTTGATTGGGTACTGGATGACGGGTTTTTCGCGGGTCAAGCTCGAATTCGTTCCCCAGCATTGTGGCGTTGACGGCTTGTGTTGGCATTGATGGTGACGTTTTTTAAATTTGAATTTTCTCTCTCGCTCTCGTTGCAGATCGTGGCCGAGAAGCGCTATGTGGTGAAGCCACGGACTGCAGACATAAATGAAAACGTGCTGTCGGAGCAGTGCCGGAACGACTTCGGACTCACGGAGGAGCAGGTGAAACGTGGCGAGTTGCTGGAAACCGTTCTGGAACAGGTGAGTCTCGGCTGGCCTGCTGTCCCGCTTCTCGCATCGACCGCTTCTTTATTTTATCAGCTCTGAGATGAAAGCCTGCGTCGCAAAAAAGGCGCAGGGATCCGGGTTTCTTGTAATTTACTCTACTGTACTCCACACGTGTGCAGAACAGTAATGCTGTATACAATGTATTTACTGTTTTGTAGTGTAGTGTAGTGTAGAGTACAGCACTGCACTAAATTTTACATGTACTGTAGCCCAATCTAGTCCAAGAGACCCAAAGTACTGTACACTATTCCGTTTCAAGTCTACCCCCGATTGAGGAGTAGTTCCCAAAGAACCTGTAGTCTTTAGCGCAGTAGCTCTAATGCCCCAGCTTCGGTAGTCGCTCTGTCCAGTCTTTCGAACATGTTTCGATTGTACGTTTGACAGCAGCTCCGAAGGATAGATTGGATGTAGTGGGAGTAATATTCTCCGAAACAGGCACAAAAGTGCTGGTGCTTTTCCTCGGTCAATGTGCTGAACTTTGCCTTGGGTTCCCAATGCAGCATGTTCCCTTCATTCCAACTTTTTCGGGGTTCTCAGCATTTCCGCAGGCATAGTCAGGCATAGTTTTTTAAAGAAGAAACTTCGTTGCTAACCATTGATGACCTGATGCATACGCATTCTTCGCCACGTAGGCTTATTATCAAGGACAGAATATGTGTATGATTGGCTGGTCCCACAAAGCAAAGAATAAAAAAAATTACGTGGACGATCAAGGAGAGGGTTTTGTCGCAGAGGATTTGCTACAACGTCGAGTTTAGGTGTGCAGCTTTTCGCTGGAGAATCATTGCAGGGAGAATCCAACTAAAGTACAGTACTGTATGGAATATTAGTAGGATATATTTACCTCAGAAGTTTTTTTTTTTAATGCTGCCTAATTATCTGGTTGCTTTGGAATTTTTAGTCTGAAAATTACAAAAAACCTGGTCATCGCCTGAGTAAGAAACGCAGAAAGGAATTTAATTTGCTCCCCGAAGTACGGTGCTCTGATCGAAAAGTTATTTGGGGTAAAATTCTCGTTGAATCGAATTGACATGTATTTTATCGAGTGATCGCAAGTCCGAGGCGAAGGCATCTCGGAGGAGTGGCGATTGTAGCAGTGTTGTGGGGCGAGCGGTTGTCGGGCTGGGGCGTGGGATTGCGCGCGTGGGACTCTCGGTCCCTCGACAACGACGGTGTCGTGTCGAAAGGGGTCCATCTGTTTTATCGTCGCGAGTGGCAGATAACGCCGCGTCCGCGTTCCCAGTTGCTCCAAGGCAGGCTGGGGAACACAAGAGCCGAGCCACGTGTGCGCCGGCGAAACAATGCAAGTCGACTCGGCAACCAACCGGTGCCCCACGGCGCTCGTTAGCGCCAAGTCTTTGTTCTGCACCACTTTTCACACGTCCCACTGAAGCGTCCGTGCTACTAAGACGTCACACAGTGTATTTTTCTCTCATTACTGTACTTTACTGCGTGTGTGTGTGTGTATGTGCATGTGCGCCTTTCCGACCCCGATGACCGCCGCCTTGTCAATGTCGGGCAGTTTCGAAATGCTGATTCTTGGCTAGGATCGTCTGGCCCATCGCTGGCAGCTAACGCTAATATGCCCCACTCCTCTAGTTTGGAAACGATCTCGCAAAGGACCGTGCAGTATTGTACTGTGAAGTACTGTATCATGAGGGGGCGGGGAAGGTTGCTGCCGACCACGGGTAGTACAGTACAGTACAGTACAGTACTAGTTAATAAAAACGGCGTGGCAGAGAAGCAAATGTTTTAGGCTGCGCTAGATATTTGCAGATTTTTTCTCTTTCTTCTTTTCTTCTCTGTTGTTGTGTCACATTGCAGCACTGTTCGGTCCATTGAGTCGGTTATATAATTATCTTTTTTTCAATTTGAGTATGCGTACTGTACTGTACTGGACAATATTGCCCATGGAACTCTTGTGCCGTAACTCTTGTTAAAATTACTAGTCAAATTACTCGTGTATGCTGGAATTGCCTTTATCTTGTGTGTATTTAGTATCGCGGCATCGAATATCTGATCGGCTTATGTCAAAAAAAGAATTCGCCGTAAATATCGCTACATCATTAAACTGATGATGTATTTTCAGACGAAGGAAACCAACTGGAGTTGTGAGAGGAAATGTAAAGTTGAGCGAGACAACAAATTTCAGGAATACTGAAACTATTCTTGTTTAGCCATCGCCGTATCTTAAAGACTACCTGTGAACTGCCTGAATGAAATAGGGGCAATCTTGCCAGGCATTATGCTGGAACCTGTTCCTGTCTATCCCAGCATGTACGTGTAATTTATCACCGCTGGAAATGCGGAAATGGAATTTGTCGTAACATGCACGGTACTTTCAATCGTATTTCTGAACTGAGCGTTGGCTAAAAAAAATGTAATGCAGTACAGTACAGTACCTTGGTTGCGAGAAACGTCCACCTACAGTATTTGGTTAAGCTGTAAAGGCTGCGTCCCCGTCTAAAATCTTCGACACCCCCCTGAGCTCCGTGGCATATTGAAGTCCATGGAGACGCGAAATTTGTTTCAGCCGAAGCGTTTCCAGAGGCGGGTCTCTTCTATCTTCAGAATGAGCCAACACTTGGGTCATATTTGCTCCGGTTTGTACGCGGGATGCATTGTGTTCCATATTGTTTTTCTCCCTTCCTCGACAAACGCGCGCGTTCGTCAGTCTGCATGTACAGCACAGTACAGTACAGTACTTTAGATTACAATCAAGTACAGTGCAGGTTTTGAATGGGCTCCGAAGGAAATGATGAGTTTGGTTGCTCATTATCAAACGCGTAGCTTCCTGGTTTCTGCTGAACAACGTTGGGAAAATTTCAGCACCGTCTCGAGTTAGTAACTTGCACTTTCTAGGCCATCTGAATGATCGATCTACTGATGATCATGGTGATGATGATGATGATAATAATGTGCCGATTTATTCTCGAAGCTCGGATACGAATGCGTCGTCTCTCCGCGAAACGCCGTCCTCGTTAGACTCCTTGGGGTTGATGTTATCGGAGAACCTGGCGAACTTGGCCGTAAATTGATGACGGCTGAAACGCGGACTGTGCAAACAATCACTTGACGTTTTGAATAATGAAGCCGCGAGTCTTAATTGAGGCTAGTTCCTGGAAAAGTTGGACGAAGGAGATAAGCAAACAAAAGAATTCCGAGTCCCTGTAGGCAGCTCTTGCGCTGCCTTCCCCCCTCTTTTTGTGGTGCGTGCAAAACTCTACACGGTTGCTTTCGAAACTGCAATATTGTACTGTACCGTAGATTTGTATTCCCTTAATTCACGCGAGATGAAGACGAAAGCGACGACCCTCAGAGAGCGACACTGAAAGATGATTGCCCGAAGGCTTCTTTGCATCGCGTGGAACATGTGCTGTACTGTATTTTGAGCTTTGGCGCCGTGGTTTTTCAATTTTAACGCGCTTTCATGCCAAGTTTTCAATGGGGAGCGAGAGAAATGATTCCTCAATGCATGTCAAATCCGAGCTTCTTTCTTTTTCTTTTTTTTTTCCCTTCTTGAATCACGCGCTCGAAACTTGTCCCTTGTCGGTTAATTGTCGGCAATGTTATCGCATCCATTTTGGGAACCGAGACAAATCCCTCTGAACAGGCACGTATGCGGTACGTCCAAGATCAGGGAACACCGTGTCCAGGAAACGCGTGCGTCCCCGAAAGGAACTCGCGTAATGTGTCGTGTCGGTACGTGATTTCCTTATGCCATCACCCCTGATTATTGTTCTCGAATGCCTGCAAAATGAATTCCAAAGCGTAGAGGAGGCAGAAGCACATCCGGCGTTTGCTTATTGGTTTTTATTTTTGTCAAGTCGAATGTCGTAGTTTGTGAGAAGTTTGAGTGTGAAAAACAGATCTTCGGTCCGTGGGTCAGAGGAGTGGAGTACAGTAATGTACTGTACTGTATCGTTATTTCCGGACAGCAAAGCCATGAGCTTGGTTATCCTTCATGCTTTTCATTCTCGCCGCTCTGTCTTTCATGTGTCTGCTGACCCTACGAGCAAACCTCAACAAGCCCAGTGTTGTACTGTTCAGTACCCTACAATATCGCGTTGCTCAGCAGTAGTACAGTACTGTACAGTATTCACGTTGAAATGGTTGTCTCGTGCCTTTGGACTGGGGGGGTGCTCCGCGCGGCGCGCCGAAGAGAAGCGTGAACTCGTTTTCAGCGTTTCTTGCCTCTCGCGTTTGATTGGATGCTAGCCAGACAGGAGAGGACTGATGACGTTCTCTCTCTCTCTCTTCTCCTTTTCATTTGCACAGTTCGAGGAATGGGTGCGTCGGTTTTTGGCGTCGCCGCGGGCCCTGGCGGCGGCCAAGGCGCGCATGACGGAGGACATGATGGGCGAGGAGATGGACGCCCAGCCGCGCGTCGTGCTCGTCTGCGACGGCCAGCTCCCGCTGCGCCAGTGCTTCCACCCCGAGGCCTGCAACAAGAACGTCGACGTGCCCAACTACTACTACTCCTTTTTCGACCTGCGGAAAGAGTTCGCCAAGGCCTACGGGTCCGAGGACATCAACTGCGTCTCTGACATGCTCAACGGTGCGTTTTTTTTTTTTCTTCTTCCATTTTTAAACTCGCATCATTTTTTGTGTGTGGCAAAAATACCGATGGAATGCCTGTTTGCCTCGAAGTGGAGGAATGGCTGATGGATGCGACCCTCGGGAGGATGTTCTCTTATCCTTTCCCTACGAATCTGTCACCCGAGGGATGATTCCACTTGTTTTTGAGGGAAAGTCTCCCGTGCCAGGAAGCCCGTCCCTCCTGATAATTAATCAAGTACATTACAGCACAATTACGAACTACAGTAATGTCTATTGTTCTCTCACCTGTTTTTTTTAAAGCTTACAAATCCATCAAACGAAGCCCTTATTCTGTAATTTGTGTCTGGCTACCCAATGATCTCTGTTGAGATTGTTTGAACCATTTGGAGATGATGCTTGCCGAATAATTGGCAGCCTGTACAAACGTTTATCCTAAATTCCAGTTCAGACGGAAAATTCTAGGTTATATTTCACACTCACAATACTGTATTGTAAATCTGCCCATACTATTTTACTGAAGGGAGAACGGTTGACAAGCCTGTTCCTCAGTTTCTGGTTACTGCATTTCTCTGTTTGCAATATTGTACCTTACTTTTTTAAGCTACGACCGACCATATCGGGAAATGAATGAGCGATGGATGCGTGGTGAATGAAATTCTGTTCCACGCGAAGTTGGGGGCTCCATCTTTATCTCCATTTTAGCCTAAATTGGGGGACAGAGGAACGACAGTCGGAAAACATCTTGTGTCGGAATAAAATACTGAAAGAACAAACGTCCTTATTTGTGCTTGTACCGAACCTTGACTGGAGGTGTTGTAGTCCGTGATCAGAGCATAATGGGTTGTGCATCCAATTTCGGTACAGTTTTTTTTTTTTATAATTTGGTCGGAATAAATAGCGTAGCTGTTGGTAGAACGTCATGTGTCAAGGGAAATAATATGAAAACTACTGTAATAGGAATTGAAATTCCATCTTATAAAAAGACTATCAAACTAACTATAGGATGCGTATATTACATCTAGATAATGTTCAAGAAGTATAATTTCAATACAGTATGTTGTCTTCGTGATTTTTTTTTTTTCATTGGGGACCTCTCGTAGAAACTTGAATTTTGTTGGCGTGCTATCGAGAAACAATCAATTGGCAGGAACATATTTCAGTAATTTCTGCGGATGCCATTTTAACGGGATTTCGAATGCTTCCATCATCTCGGAAGATTTGTTCTTCAAAGTAAATTGTTGGTTGCCGAGGGTGGCGGCGTCTTATCGGGGAGCGTGCTAATAGGGATTGACTGTACCTATACTCTACTTCTGGAGTCTCTGCACATTCTGTGATTTCCGGAAAGCCCCAGCATGACTAGGAAATTTAACTTAGATCGCGTGTAATGAACTTCGACTTGAAAGTCGTCCGTCCCATTTGTCGGGATTGCGGAGGATTTCCTGGGAGAGAGAGAGAGATTTCGCGGGAGCCGAACGCTGGAGCAGGCAGTGAGTGCGACCTGCCGACGGAACCGGTTCCACGGGCAACTTGTTTCTTCATCATCCAGGATCTTCCCTGTCGCGTGATACCTGTTTCTTGCCTGGAGGCATCTGTGAGCAACATGACGCGCCTCCTCCTCCTGCCTGATGGATTTTTCTTGGGCACTGCAAGGAAACCAGCCGCTGTGCTCTGGGACGAAGGGGAAGAACAAATACTGTACTGTACTCTACCTTACTGTACTGTACTAGACTGACCGTCGAAACATCGCTCGAAGAAACAGAGCGGATTCAAATGGTCCTTCAGTTTCTTGTGCTGGAGAAACGATGCTGTACAGCACTGTAAATTACAATACTTTCGTCAATACTGTATCTCACTCTGGATGTTGCAAATTTCGAGCCTTGCGATTCTAGTGCAGTACAGTATTGTGCCGTATAACTGATGAGGCATCTCTGAGGGTTCCGACAAATCTACTGGGGTCTCGATTTTTTTTTTACAGTAGTTCTGTCTCAAAATGCGTAGCCTCTTCGTCGGGATTTTCCCTGGGCTCAGTTGATATCATGGAGTGAAATGTGTGTGGGCAGTGAACGCGGTCGTGACGTAGTTCCGTGTTCGGAATACTCTTATCTTACTGCAGTGAAGGAATGGAGCGTTGCACTAGTTGAGTTGTGCAGCTTTTGGCAGGAAAGCTGCGTCGTACTTGGAAACTTTCACGCGTAGGAGCGGTTTAGGGAAGGGAAAATTCCCAATCACTGTACTGTATTGTATACTGTACTGTACTAGACCTGTTCGTGTGAACATTTATCGGAGAGATGCGGATCTGCGCTTCTCGTTTTCTAGTCCCATGAGCAAACAGGCGTTCCTTCTTTGATAAAGGTGAACGTTTTGAAATCCAAATGCTGTAGAGAAAGAACCCTTTACCCTTCCTTCGGAACGAGTCTCATCGAAAACAAAAAAAATGAGGCGTGTGTATTTTTTTTTTCGAGAAATTGGGAGGATTGTGTTCGTTGTCCGGGAAGATGAACGATTGACGCAATGGAGAGGAATCGGAGCGAGGCGAGGAGCAATCAGTGCCCCTGATGGGGCTGATGTTTTCCGCCGATCGGCGAGTGGCGTGTGACGGTGGAGGCGGAGCCTCTCGCTGGCCCCAGCTGTCAATGCTTGAGCCAATTCCCCCCCCCCTCCCTTTTCCGCTGACGTCGATGTCGCTGCTGTATTTCTGCCGATTCACTCACTCACTCACCAGCGCGACTTGTTCGCTTGCCGGGGACACTTCGGGGTGGATCTTTCCTGTGGCGAAATCCACCCCGTGTGTGAATGAAGGCTGACATTCTGTAGCTGGACGTTGGTTGCGTTCAAATCATTTTGTTCCGGTTGGATTTTGGCTTGCGAGCTTGGGTTGCGGTAGTTGAAAACCCCTTTCTTGCTCACTCGGGATATTTGTCGGGGGGTAGTTCGATTCGACGAATTCGAAAAGAGAGAGGGGGGACGAAACAGTTTCACCATGAACGGCGATCGAGTACCATAATTCACTGTACAGTATCCACTTGAGTTCTTCGTGATCTGAGAAGGGCTATGATTTCCTCTGGCAATAAGTATGATGATACGACACAGTAAAAATAATTATCGTAGCTTCATGGCGGCATGCGTTGCGTGCTCTAGGATAATTTAACTTTCAGGATTGACTCTTGCTGGCGGTGTTGGTGCGGATAAATGGGGTTTGAAGTGATCCCCTGTTGCAAGTGGACCGATAAGCATTGCACTATGTGCTGCTTGATTCGTCGTAAACCTCGGGTTTTCGTATTTATCATGAGGGGCATCGTCGTCCTCTTCTTCGAATAACGCTGTAATGAAGATATAGCAGAGACTCGGCGGGTTCCCTTCCAGCTGAAATTGATCGGAACTTTTCAGCAACCTCACGGGAAGAATCATGCGCGCTTCGAAGTTGGATAGCTTCCTTTTGAACTTGGAAAATTGGAAAATTCGAGCTGCATTGTCTGAGCTCGAGGGTACGAGATTCGAAAATGCCTCGTACAGTACGTTACAGTCTGAACTTTTGAACCATTTGTCGAGTGTAAGAAGCCATCGGTTTGGAAAATTGTCAGCAGGCATTGACGTTGTCCCTTGCAAGTCAGAATACCCATGTCCGTCCGGGGCTGTTGTGGCCCGGTCGAGTCACTGCTGGTGGTTCGCTACGATGACTTGCCTGATGCCAAATGACTCAGCATGAAGCTGCTGCGCCAGTCACTGTAATGTTGGTTGGAAAAAGGAAGGGGGGGGGGGAAGTCGCCTTTTTCTCCTTCCTCTGGCGTCTCGCAAGGTAACGGAAGATTGCCGAGTCGCGCACGCGGGAAATTGGCCGATGTGCTTTTCGAGTCCGACTATTTTTGGGATTACCTTCATTAGCCCCAACGGAGATTGACTAGATTGCTGTTGATCGACGAACTCCCCTCTCGTCCGGCGTTGTCATTGGAGGCTGGTCGTTAACGATGCGTCTTTTAAGGGCTTGTTCTTTTTTTTTTTTGGTCGGGCTCTCGCTCTCTCTCTCGTGTCCGATCTTGACGAAGATTGTAGTAAGATAGGAAATAGTACTGCACTGAAAAATGGACTGCGATGACTCTGTCGAGGTCTGTCGGGTGAAGGCTTAGCAATTATTCAGCTCCGAAATGCACGACGCCGAAGTGCATCGTTCAGTCGTTCTCCAGATCGAAGAGCGCCATCGATCTTGCGTGAAACGAGGTTTTTGGTGATGGATTGAATGAAATCCTTCGCTCGTCAGAAATGCTCCGTAAATGCAGTACCTTATGCAGGTATGGTATTGCACTGCTCACGTAAAGAAAGTCAGGTGGCTCTGGTTGTTGACGTAATCAGCAATTTCGTTGCCCGGGCGAACGAAATGGGGATGAGTTGCTGACTAGCTGCGTACTGCATTCTGAATGCACAAAAAATCGTTTCGAAGAGACTGTCGTCCAATTGCGCTTGAATCTAGTGCAGCGAACACTTTCCATTGCCTTTCTCCATGTGGAGTATATTATGTTATACCATCCTATTTGCTCAACAGAAATTCTAGTGTACTGAACAGGGGTCGCTGTCTGGCCTGGCGGACAGAAAGTCAATCGACTTTATGGCATTCCTATACAGTATCAAGCTTCTTCCTTCCGTTGTCGAAATTGAAGGCGCATGAAAGTTCTCCGCAGAAGACTTATTTTTTCTTTGACACCCACGCGTGTACCAGCTTGTAAATGTATATCTTCGTTGACGAGATGGATATTTTTTGTTGTTGATTCGAGTGAACAATTGTCCCAACAATCTTGAAATGAGCGGTGGGGGTAAATGCCGAGATGTTTGAACGCAATCCATTCATTTTTCCCTTTTTGCTTTCTTGTGTTTTCAGTTTTGGGAAAAGATCCGATCGTGCTGCCCGGAGACATGGCGTCAGCTGAGGCGGAAAACATGGCCGTTATCGTCCGATGCATGGTCGAGAAAGGTGAGATGATCTGCATAGCCCGCATTATTATTCTTCTTCTTCTTCCTCTCCTCACTTTCCGTGTCTTTTGATGCGCTTTTGTAATCTTAATCTGGGACGTCGGCTGCTTTGTGGGGATGTCTGTGTCCTTAGGGGTTTATTTGAATGACGACCTTGAGGACGGAAACTCGTGACTGACTCAGTGGCCTGTTGTCGCTGTCGATCGGAGGACACATTTCGAAGCCCTCTTTTTCTCCCTCGTCAGCCAGCCCTTTCATATTTGATACAGTATTTCATATTTTCTGGCTGGAGGAGAGACATTGGTTCCCGTAGTGTCTTAAAAATACTGGCGACATCTTACTCGGGGAAATCTGGCGACGAATTTGATCCGAAGAAAAGCCAGTAAAACTTGCTGTTGCAATGTTTTATTTTTTTCCCCAATCCTGAATGCGCGTTTTTGCTGACGTGTACACGCCTGTACAGGTGGGGAGTGGAGGGGGACAAGGATATATTTTTTTTTCCCCCGCTGTCGCGCGGTGAACCGATTTTTTCCTTTTCCTTCTGCTCGGCAACCTTCCAACAATGCTGCCTGGATGACAGCGACGTCTTTTCACAAATTTTCCGTCATTTCGAAACGAAATCGATGCCTGGCTGGTGTTCCTCGGGATTTCTTGGGTATGGGCGCGCTTGGATCCCGTTGTAATCCCGATTTGGTTCATGATGAACATTCCATGTTTTTTTTTTTTTTTTTTTTATAAAAATATCTATTTTATTCCCACAAAAAAGAAACCTCGCGCAAAAAATATAATTTGCATGTATCCATATGCAATTATTGCAATTGGATCACTTTTTTTTTGCTAGGAATTTCTTGTGGAAAAACTCAGGTTCAGGCACGGCAGGAACTGTGGAAATTTCTTCCCGTTTTTTAAAGTAGACAAATGTCCGCATGTCCCAGTGAGTTACTATTCCTGTTTCTCCCTTCTCCGAATTTGGCGGTCCAGTCAAAGTCCCTTTTTATTTTTTTCATGGTGGGAATGGGATTTTTTTTTACAGCGATTGAGGTCTTATCAGTGTCGGGGTTTCTTGGCTCGCCCTTCTGCACTGTATAGTATAGTACAGCACAGTACAGTACAGTACTGCATATTGGAAGAGGGCGCGTTTGAGAAAGAGTGTACCGTACTTTTGCTTTTGTAATTATCTGTCGAATGAAGGAATGACGGGTGTGTGTTGTTGAAAGCCTAGTGGGTTTCTCCTCCTGTTGGCCGTCGAAAAGGCCAGAAACCGCGAGATGGAAGCGTCGGCTGATCCGCTGCGGGGGAATTACGCGTGGACTGTTGCGGTGCGTGCTTGGGTCCCGAGAGGGGATTGCGGTAATCTTTGGTGGCGGTGCTGGTGGAAGCGAGGTGATGCGCAGCACCTGTTGTGTGGCGTCGGCGCCGCTCACGCATGCGCGGACATGTCGGCGGCATCCAGTCGACTGGTCGCTGTGGAAACCGCAAAGACGACCGGTTTTATTCCGAGTGTCCGGGGAAAGCCCGAACGTGAAATCTCCGACTTTTTGAGGGGAATGAAGGGAAGAAGAAAAAAAAAGTCCGCCAGTAACGCCTCTTCGTCCCAGAATGCGACCGACCATTGCGATGAGTTGGTTACTTAGTTGTTCACTCGCTAGTCGCAAGCGACTGTTGGCGAAAGCGAGCGATTTCTGCTACAGTCAAACCCCGTTAAGACGCCCCCCGATAAAGCGCATCCCTCGGCAACCGCCAACATTTTGAATGAAACAAATCTCCATGTTAAATTTGATTAAAAAAAAAAAAAAAACCTGGATAAGACGCCATCCGCCAGCATTAGTGATGAGACAAAAGTGCTGTTTCCTATTAGTTTTGTCTTTGTTACAATGTCAACATTGGGGTAGAATCATAATTTTTGTCAAGGATCTTGTATTTGTAAGAATTGAAAAATATTAATCATTTTGTTGAAAAATAATAATCATTATGTTGAAAAATTTGGACAATATATCAACCTAATCTTAGAATTTGAATAAATTGATGCAGCAAAATTAATTTTCTGGAAGAGTATTGCATTGATCAAAGCAATACTCCTTGAAAAATTACTGAAGTTAATATAGAAAACCTGTATTTCTTATGACTTTTGGAGGAAAATCTAGCATTTTTCATCAAATAATTTAAATTAAATATTCGATAAACCGCCAACCATTTTAAACCGCCAAAAGTGCTATGGACAAATGGTGGCGTCTTATCGCGGGTTGACTGTACTTCATTGCCTTGCGCTGCTTGAGGAGGAGAACGAAGAGGATGAGAAGGAGGAGGAGGAGGAGGCGGCCGGCGTAGTTGGTAACATCATTCAATCGATCGATCCATCCACGGACCGACTAGTTTTGATGAACTTGCCGGTAGACGCTCGGATCTCCGTTGCTCCCGCGGTTTCAAGGCTGTCGTTGATTCTGGAGTTGATCCGATTTGGTTTTGATTCCGACGCGCATTTCATACCCCTTTATGATACTTTCATTCCGAGGGGGGGAGCGGGGAAAGTGAAAGTGGATCTTCGAGAAGGGTTTATTTTTCGATAGCCTCGATTGCCCCGCGTCCAACAGCCGCCAAGGGGATGATGCATTTGGGCTGCAGAATGCGATGTGCGGGATTTTCACCGACGTGGCTGCCCGACAGCGACACCGGATTGCGAAATTGCACCGCGTCCCCTGTAGATTTTCACAGTCGTTGGCAGGTGGCGTGAGATGTCAGAAAGACGTTGCGACGCGTCAGACGTCTTGCTGTGCACAGTGCTGTACATAACTTGACTGTGTAGCCGTGACCCCTTGACGTGGCATGGCCACGACGACATGATTTGCAGATGTCGTCGTGTTATACGATCTCTGGTCATTCCGAAATTTTAAAATTAATTTTTATTTGACCAGCTTTTTGCTCATCTGAAACCTTGCGTCAGTTGAAGGAAAAAGTACTGTACTGTATGTGTATACCCACGGAATGCTTCGTGGATGAGGATAATTCGAGTACTTTACAGTACTGTTCTGTGCTTCTAAAATTCTAGAGTAACCCTCGCACTTATAATGAGAGCATCCCATTTTGGTTTCACGAATTGCCTGAGCAACTCGCGGCAATTGCAGTACAGTATGTACAGTATTGTAGACTAAGAATCGCCCGTGCCTTCTTGACGTACAAGGATCGCAGTTTTGTGCTTACTGTACTGTAGTGGAGTACAGTGCATGTATAGTTTGAATGTACCGATTGAATTAGACAGGTGACGCAATAACTTTCCTCGAGATTTCATTTGTGCGCGTCAAATCATTTCTAAACCTGTGGACTTTTCATGACTCGAGAAAGTGGTCGTTTTTCAGGATAGGTTTTGCACTGCCGGGGATTGCATTTTCTGCTTCTCGTCAGGTTTCTTGTCGCTATAGGGCCTTGATAGCGTTGCGAACTCACCGACTCATGGGTCTCGTGTATGTGTGGAATTACTGAAAGAAGTGTTCAGTATTTCGCAGTACTTTTTTTTACTTGAAGAGTGGACAAAATTTGGGAGTTGGTTAATCGCATCAGTCTCGTTGCGTTACTGTACGGTCACCTTGAACGAGCCCGGGTCTGGTGACTGACGACGACCCGGGTGAGATGCATCAGCACCACCACCTCGGCTTAGGTGGGGCGAACGTGGCAACACGCCATGTTGGTTTCGGCTGGCGTAACAGTCCGGTTGTCAGGTGGGATAATCCCGCACCAGTGTGCATGAATGTATGTCTGCATATGCGTGCGTGTGTGTGTGTGTATGTGTCACGCGGCGGGCCCTGATGGTCGCGCGCAGCCTTGTGAAAGGCGCGCACTGCGCCGTGCGTGCCTGCGTGGGAATCCCGCCGCCTGGGTCCCCCTTCGCACGTGCGTTCCTTCCTTCCTTCCTTCCTTATTCCTTCCTCTGCTTCCTGCGTCTCTGCATGTCTGTCCGTCTCTCTGTACATCTCTCTCTCTCTGTGTGTGTGCCCAGTCCGGGAACCCCGACTGTCGACGGAACGGATTCTGCTGGGTCTCGAGGTTGAAGCTATTTAATGATGATGTTTCTCTGCTTCGGTCGATTGCAATTGTTCGGGATCGATTTCCTGGTGGAGTATTTGGCGTCGAGGATGACGGGATCCCCGGCATTCAGTGTGTTAAAGCGGCCTTGTCAACAGACGGGGACTAAGGTGGCCTGGACCTGGGTTAATCTTTGGATGGGTGCCATTACAGCCGGTGCACAGTGGGGGAATTTGGCAGCGCGACATTTGTATCCATTTTACCTGGCTTTAATACATTATTATATGCATATTATGTAGTACAGGTACAGTATTTAACTGTACTGTAATACTATTTTTTAAAGGGTGTGGAAAGAGCAGAGCATGGTCAGACCGGTAGAAGACAGGATTTTTCAATTGACTGGAATATATCTGCATGGATTCAGCGTTGCAGTTTTGAATTTAACCTTCCACGTGATTTCAATGTACAGTACTGTACTGTAAAATTCGCCTGTGTAGTTATGCATTGGTGATAACAAATGTAAACATGAGAGAGGACAGGGAAAAGGGGAGTGACGCGCCCAAGTTCAACTCCAGATCCCAGGACATTGTTGGTGAAAAGGATTGGGCTGGGTGGTCCTTCAGAAGGATCTCGTGTGTGGATGGATGGATGTATGTCTGAAAGGGGCGCATTTCTCGGAAATGCTGGTGTAGATTGTCACACCCCTCGCACTATCATTATTATGATTGCTTAGAGGGTACGTTTGGTTGGGATTTTGATCTGTTTGGTTCCAAGCTACGAGAGATTTTTTTTCTTTTCTGCAGGACACCCTTCGTGTTTGTGCGTTGCAAATCTAAAAATTATTTCTGGCGTTAAACCTTTTTCCAATGTAGAGCTGTATATCCTTGCTAATCCCTGTTATTTCTTGACGATGCCTTTGAGAGAAACTGCTCGATGTTGTATTGAAAACTAGTAGGTCTCGCGGACAAATCTCTGTCCCTTCTCACTCCTACTTGTACTGTGATGCAGCGCAATTGGCCGGCATAATCGAAGTACAGTATCTTACTTGTGGCAGTACATCACCAAAAGTTATTAGGATAGAACCGGTATTAAATCCTAAAAATTTGGCTGCTTTTTGAAATAAATGACAATAGAATTCCTTTTTTGGTTGGCCCTTT